GTCGACACACACACACACACACACACACACACACACACACACACACACACACACACACACACACACACACACACATCACTTGCTGCCATGCCACAAACCCTCACCTCATTCACCAACAATCACACACGTCGGGGCCTGTCTCACGCCCGCCCCTTCTTCTCCACCACACCCCACTACTTTGCCCATTCCATCGCCCCCTCTCAACTAACGTCACCCTGCCGCCACCACCGCCACCACCACCATGGCCACTGACAGCTCGCCAAGTTGGAGAAAGAGTACGACGAGAAGCGGAAACTGCAGGAATCCCGCGGCCCGCGCATGCTCAAGGCCGATGAGGTGCAGAGCTGAGGGTTGGCTGGGATGGTGGTGGTGATGATGGTGGTGGTGGTGGCGGCGGCGGTGTCTTGGGTGTCTTGGGTGCCATGGGTGTCATGTGTGTCGTGGGTGGTGGTGTCATGGGTGGTGTAAGTCGCTGCAAGGCCAGGGTGGTGGCGTTGTGGCATGGTGCTGTTTGCTCGCCTTCCCGACTCACGCATGCACACCCACGTTCACACTGTAGTTCAAGCGGTATGTTGCCAAGTTGCGAACAAAGAGCACAACATACAAGCAGAAGAAGAACAAGGTACATGCGCGTGACTGTTTGTTGTTACCGTGTACACTTTGCACACTTCTCTCTTGCTCTTGCCCCTGCCATTCATGTGTTCATTTTCGCGCCCACAACGAATTCACCACCACCGCCGCCGCTGCCGTGTTCTCTGCTTGTGCAGTTGACGGCGCTGCAATCGGAACATCTCGTCCTTGATCGCACCATCGAGATCCTCACGCAGCAGGAGCACCACGCTCGCGCACAGCTGGTGGGCACACGTGTTGTGCGGAGGACGGAGAGAGGAGAGGAGCCTGGGAGGAGGGGTATTAAGGTTAAAGAGCAACGCAATACTGTAGGGTTCTGGGATGCGTTGGTGCTTGCATGACGTTCCGGACTTGCTGCTGCGCATGCTCAAACACACACACACACACACACACACACACACACACACACACACACACACACACACACACACACACACACACACACACACACACACACATGCCGCACACTACCACCCTTTGCCCAGTCTGCGCTTGAGGCGGAGCGCGGCGTGAGCGGGGTGACAGCGGCGCAGACGGAGCTGGAAGACGTCTCTGCCAACAAGGGCGAGCTCGACGCGCGCAAGGGAGAGACGCTTGATGACATCTCACGTATGGTGGACGAGCTGAACGAGAAGATCTCGGCCAAGCGGACGTCGCTGGCACCGCTGATCAAGCAGCTGCGCTCCCTCCGCGCCGAGGAGAAGACAGTCAAGGTCGGGTGGTGATTGGAGTCGATGTGCAATGTCTTTTGCTGTGTGTTTGTTGTGTGTTTGTTGTCGTTGCTTGCTCACTTGTTCGCTTGCTAGCTTGCCTGCCCTGTTTGTTACTTTTGCTTCTGTTCTTGTTGCGTTTGTGAACACTTGTTGAGGTGGCACCCGTCCTCCGTGCTGGCGGCCGCCTCGCTGCACCCTCTCTCACCCCACCCCATGATCACGCACCACCACCACCACGCAGGAGAAGTATGACGAGAAGAAGGCGGAGTACGATGCGTCGTCGGCGCAGCTTGAGTCGAGCAAGTCCAAGCTCGAGACGGAGGTGAAGGCACTGCGGGAGGAGGTGTCTGTGGAGGAGAGCAGGTACCACTACCTCCACAACATGATCGCCCACATCTCAAAGCAGGTACGCTTGGGGCGGTGAAGGGCCTTTGGGATAAATCGCGTGCGGGCTCAGGGCATGTGGGGACGGGTGGCTGAGGTTTGCTAGTGGATGTGCCCCATTACGCACTTACTACTGTCATGCACAAATACATGCACACACACTCACACACACACACACACACACACTCACTCACTCACTCGCTCACGCACGCAATCACTCACGCACGCAATCACTCACGCACGCAATCACTCACGCACACACTCCCTCGCTCACCAACACCTGCGCTACCCCCATTGCAGCTTGAGGTGGCGCAGCGGGAGATGCGGCTGTATCTCGGGCAGGAGGAGGGCTCGTCCCTTCGTGATGTCATGACGAAGAAGATCCAGGAACAGGACCGCATCGGCAAGCAGCTGCGCGCACAGCAGACGGAGGTGAAGGAGTCATTTGACGCCAACATCAGGCAGCTCGACATGTGGAAGGACCTTGAGCTGCTGATGAAGTGCAAGACGGAGTGTGTCGGTGTTGCGACGGGCGCTGCTGCCGATGACAACGACGCTGTTGCGCTTGAGGAACAGGACCGCCTCGTCTTCTCGTGATGACGACGACGATGATGATGATGATGATGATGATGATGATGATGCTCGTCGTCGTCGTCGTCGTGGCAGTTGGTGTTGCCCTTGCATGTACGTGCACCGCTTCCTTCACTTGTGTTGTTTGGTGTATAGTTGTGGAGTGCTTTCGTCTGCGTGTGTGTGTGTATGTGTGTGTGTGTGTGTGTGTGTGTTGTGTGATGTGTTGTTCCTTTTGCCACTACTCTACTTCTTCTCCCTGATCGCAGTCCCCATTCTTTCAACTCTTGCTTCTCAGGCGCAACCCAAGCTGCGCATCACTGTTTACTGACTTTTGCGTGCAAGAAAGGCCATGGCACAGTGAACCAACCACACACGACAACTTGTGAAGGGGACAAGCCACGAGACAACCACAACACAGCGACGAACGAGTGGGGAAACACACATACGCGTGCATGCACAAAACCACAAAACAAGCAAGACTGGCAAAGGAGCAAGATTAAATGGGTGCTGCTGCTGCATGTGTTTGCGTCTAAGGCCACTTCCACTGGCCCTTGGGCGGGTTCTCTGCAAGCGGCTCCCACACCTTCTGTTCCGCAAGCGTCTTGGCCAAGCTCAGCTCATCCTCAGCCTGTTGTGATGTGTGTGTGTGTGTGTGTGTGTGTGTGTGTGAAAAGGGGAGTGGTTGAACAGCTTGCGTCGACAACACGCAACACAAGATGCAACGTTCACATATGTATGCACCACGTGCTTGTACAGCATACGCATGCTCCCGTACCGCGTCAATCACTTCCTCAATCTGGCCTTGGCCCAGAGCATTCTCGAATTCATGAATCTCAGCACTCTGTGTGTGTGTGTGTGCGTGTGTAGGATGTGTGTAGAGTGTGTCGTGTCAGAGAATGGTTCCTGAGGTGCAGGAACAAGGCTGAACAGCGAGAGAAGCGTGGATATGGAGGAGGTGCATCACTCAAGGTGCACAAGCACACACGCACGCACGCATACATGTGTATGCACACACACATACACACATATGCATGCACACATGCACACCTGCTTGAGGAGGTTGAGGCGGTCATTGGTGATGGCAAGCATCTTCTGGCGGTATGCAGACGCCTCGGGAAACTTGGAGAGGACAGCGGACGTGTCGTTGTACACGCTCTCGAGCACCTGCCCATCATGTGTTGAAAGGAGTGAGTGTGACTGTGAGCTAACACACAACCGGGGAAGCACGTTCGGCATTTGTGCTCACGCATTCTCACGCACACACTCACACTCAGTCTCACACGTGCGCGCGCACCTTCAGTCTCTCACACTCACACTCACTCACTCACACACCTCGCGTGCATTGACAATGCGCTTGAGGCCAACAAGGCCCGTGGTCTGCAACCACACACGTAATGCACACGGGTGATGGTAAGGGAAGCAGGAAGGGAGATGGGTGAACGTAGGGAGATGGGTGAACGTAGGGAGATGGGTGAACGTAGGGCGATGGGTGAATGTAGGAAGATGGAGTGACACACACACACACACACACACACACACACACACACACACACACACACACACACACACACACACACACACACACACACACACACACACACACACACACTATCACGCACACCATCACGCACGCCAACCTTGCGCAGTGCGTGGCGGACGGTGCTGGCCATGGTGGCTGGTTGGTTTGTTGGTTGCGAGACGAGGAGGAAATGTAATGCGACAGCACAAAAAGTAGCACATATGAAGCCAGCAAGCTTCTTATCATTCCTCGTGCTCTCACGCTGATGTTCTTGTTGCTTGTGGTGGTGGTGTTGCTGTGTGCACGCCGCAACGATGCGGAGGTGGTGTTGGTGGAGGATGGCGTGGGCACCTTCCACATCAACACAAGCGATCCAGGGAGCCAGGCTGTGCTGGTGAACGGGGTGGACGTGAACGCGGTGCTGGCGGCACAGCACAGCATGCTGCAGCTGTACAGCGCCGCTTTGGAAGGACAGCAAACCGTTGATCGCGCGCTGAGGAGCCGCATCAGTGCACAAATGGGCGTGAACGAGCAGCAACAACGAGCAATCAACCAGCTGAGCAGGAGGCTGTGTAAGGTGGAGGATCCTGGGGCCAGCACCTTCGGCGAGGAAAGCATTGCCCCGCTCACAACAAGCTGCTGCAAGTTCATCGGTAGCGCCGTGGCCAGCAACGGCTTGATCTACGCAGCACCCTTTAACTCGCCCTCTGTGCTCATTATCGACCCAAGCACCAACACCGTCGACGTCACGTCGATGGAGGTGTTCCCCGAGGACGTGAACAAGTGGGCTGGCGCTGTGCTGGCACACACAGGGGACGTGTACATGATCCCGGCCTCTGCAACGCAGGTGCTCATCGTCGACCCAAGTACCAACACAGCCGACACCACAAGCATCAAGGCCGTTGGCTCCGCCAGTTTCAAGTGGTTTAGCGGCGTGGCAGCGGACAACGGGCTCATCTTCGGCGTCCCGTTCTCCGCCACCTCCGTGCTGATTATCGACCCCGCAACCAAGACGGCAGACGTCACCACGCTGTCCGGGATTCCCGAACAACGATACCAGTGGTACGATGGCGTTCAGGCGGAGAACGGCCTCATCTACTGCTTCCCCATCTCTGCTGACTCGGTCCTCATCATCAACCCTGCCACACTGACAATGGACTTGACGACCATCGCTGGCCTTGGCTCGGAGTCCAAATGGTACGGCGGCGTGCTTGCAAGCAACGGCCTCATCTACACCATTCCGGGCAGGAGCGCGACCACGCTCGTCATCGACCCCAGCACAAACAGCACAGATACGCTGACCATTGCCTCGCAAACAACCTTCGTCAAATGGGTCGGGGGTGTACAGGCCAGCGGCGGCAACATCGTGGGCATCCCACATGACCTCGGTTCCGCCCTTCTTTTTGAGCCCACCACCAGCGCCTCCGACAACACGACCATCAACGGGCTTCCAGGCAACGCAAAGTGGTGGGGCGGTGTCGTCGCTCCAAATGGCCTCGTCTATGGCATCCCATACTCCACAAACGAAGTGCTCGTCATGAACGCCGGGTGTTAGTGCTCTGTGTGTGTGTGTGTGTGTGTGTGTGTGTGTGTGTGTGTGTGTGTGTGTGCGTGTGTGTGTGCGATGGGGGCTGTCGTGTGTGCGTGCGTGCGTGCGTGCTGTGGGTGGAGTCCGTGGCATGTGAGGGACTGTTGTCTCACCAAACACGGGAGCTCGTATCACATCACCGTGCGTGCGTTCCATCTTCACTTCATGGAGGTGTTCGTTCGCACGACGACGATCGCTCGGTCAGTGTATTCAAGATGAATGAATGAACAGTCAGCTCAAGAACTCAAGCCAAAGCTGCACACATTTGTAAGACGCAACACACAAGATCAAACAAGCTCACGAACATAAGTGAGGCAACAATCACCCGTGTCCTGTTTCTCCAACCGCTTGCTTGCACTCACCGAACAAAGTCACGACATGTGTTGTCGGCGATCGACCTAATCGTGTCCTTCACCTCATCCTCCAGCGCCGTGTGTGCCAACAAGGCCTGCAACACCTTCTCCTCTCCGACGGACATGGCTGTTGTGGCTGCTGACTTGATGGGGTTTTGGGTGGGACGTCGCAGACTCTCTTGCCCTCTCTTGCCCTCTCTTGCCCTCTCTTGCCCCTTGCTATTGTATTGTCGTGCGTCTTGATGTCGCTGATGTCTTCTGTTCTGCTTGCGCTCCGATCTGCTCCTGTCTTGGTAGGGTCTGCTCTTTTGCTTGCTTCTTAGTTGCTTGCTTCTTGTCCTCTTCTCTTCTTCTGTGCTGGCTGGAACGCTGCGCGAATGAAAGCAGCGGACACAAACAAGGCACACAGTTGACGCACATGATTGAGATGAACAAATTTTGCCACCTCGGGCAAGCAAACCTCGGGGGCATTGGCGCAGTTGGTTAGCGCGCAGGTCTCATAATCCGCTAATGATATGATCCTCGCATGAGGAGCAATCCTGAGGTCGCCAGTTCGATCCTGGCATGCCCCATTTGCTTCCTTTTTTTTTTTGGTTGTGAGTTGGGCAAGCAAGCAACAAGGCGAAGCAGCGGCTGACACACACACACACACTCTCTCTCACAAGGTTGGCTGCTGAGGCAGAGCACACGCAAGCAACAAGCAACAAGTGAGTGAGGCAGGCAGGCAGCTGTTGGGACAAGCACAAACACACTCACAAGCAAAGGCGAGCGCACAGCAGATAGACAGATTGGAGGCAAGCGAGCGACTTGGGACGAGAAAGAAGGAGGACGAGAAGGAGCAGGAGAGAGTGGAAGAGAGACTCCGCCACATATCACTTACACAAACTCACACACTCATCACACACACATCACACATCACACACAAGCATAATCACGTGCTTCTTCTGCCTGCGCAGCTTCCTCATCTCTTTCTCTGTGTGTGTGTGTGTGTGCTGGTTCTCCTGCTTCCCGTCCATCCC